TGCTGCTATTGGCTTAGACTGCTGGAGGACACACTGACCACTTTCCACACTCAACTATTTTTTTCTACAATCTGCTCTTTAACTGTATTATTTCAGGCAATTTCAGCTGTTAACTTTAGTTTTTCTCCCCAGAAGAAGCTACAATGATGTTCTGCTGAGCTGTGGTGGCCTCGTGGAGGGGGCCATCATCTTGAACACTGTTGCTAACCACTTAAACATTCTCCCTCTCCTGATAACAACACGTTACTTTCCTTGACATTGAATGTGCTACTACTAGTTTACCCGTTTAATTATAGATTCACTAGGATAAATACAATAAAGTTTATCTCTCACCAAATAGAATATTTACTAAGAAATCACAATGTAACCATAGAAACACTACTTGGTGTGTGTGTGTGTGTGTGTGTGTGTGTGTGTGTGTGTGTGTGTGTGTGTGTGTGTGTGTGTGTGTGTGTGTGTGTGTGTGTGTGTGTGTGTGTGTGTGTGTCTGCTCTGTCTTCTTGATCTCCAGTGAGTCGTGGAGGATTGCTGCTGATACTGAGCCAGGATCCTCTGGAGGTTTCTTCCTGTTAAAAGGGTGTTTTTCTCTCCACTGTCGCTGCATGCTTGCTTAGTATGAGGATTACTGTAAAGTCAGTGACTCGATGCAATTTGCTGGGTTCCTAATATAGGAAACTTTTTTTCTGATTGGCTTAATGAATTGACCTGTATTGGAATGTTTATTATGTGAAGTGCCTTGGGTGCTATATAAATAAACTTGAAATTGAATTGAAATGAATAAACCCTCCGAATATCGCCAACCTTCCTTAAAGAGCAAGTCAACCCCTGCCAGATTCTTACTCAACTCCCTCTTCATGTTTGAAAAATGCAACAAATGCTGTTGCCTTGCAGACCGAGAGGGCGGAGCCACAAACCAATACACACACAGGCTCACAACGACATTGTGACATCATAAGGACCAGTTTACATCATAGCATACCTCTTAGCCAATAGCAGTGGCAGATTTAAATTCAAATGCAGTGCAGAGTTTTTACCTGACGACGGCATAACACTGACAGTTTTAGGCAGAATATTTAAATTTGAACTAAGATGCACTGAAGTACCAAATTATTGACTACGTGTGTCTGCAGCACAATTAGACACGCATTTATGTAATTTATCAGCAAAAAAAAGTTGATTTGGGGGTGACTTGCTCTTTAAAGAACAAGTCAACCCCTACCAGATTCTTCCTCAACTCCCACTTCCTGTTTGAAAAACGCAACAAATGCTGTTGCCTAGCAGACCAAGAGGGCGGAGCCACTAACAAACAAACAGACACACACACACACACACACACACACACACACACAGGCTCACAACGGCATTGTGACATCATATGGTACCAGCTAACGTTCCTGGGTACGTCTTAGCCAATAACGATGGCAGGTTTAAATTCAAATGCAGTGCAGAGTTTTTACCTGACAACGGCACAACACTGACAGTTTTAGGCAGAAAATTTAAATTTTAACTAAAATGCACTTAAGTGCAAAACTATTGACTACACGTGTCTGCAGCGCGATTAGACACACATTTATATAGTTTATCAGAAAAAATGATGATTTGGGGTGACTTGCTCTTTAAACATTCCCCTTTAACCCCTAATACTTTAAACACGCTGCATGTGGCGCAGTTGTTAGCACTGTTGCCTCGCAGCACGAAGGTTGCAGGTTTGAAACTCGGCTGCAGCCTTTCTGCGTGGAGTTGCGTGTTCTCCCCATGCATGCGTGGGTTTCCTCCGGGTTCTCCAGTTTCCACCACAGATCACAACATGCCCTATAGGTTATAAATTGTAAGTCGCTTTGGATAAAAGTGTCTGCCAAATAAATAAACATAAACATAAACACCAACTGCCCAAAAGGATTCTGGGCACGCTGCACACACATTACATCCCACCAAGTGCTTCATCCAAGCTCTACTTTAATTTTCTCTTCCTTTTAAAAGATAACTGGGAATTTTGCCAGAGTTAAAGCAATAAAACACAGAGTCCTGTGGATCATATTTGTGTTTGGTGTTGCTTCTTCACCTCCTCTAAGAGGAGCACTGAAGACTAAGAGAGGAGTACCAGGGTCAGGCAGTCTCCCCCTTTATGAATAATTAAAACGATCAAAGGGAGAAACCTGCAGGGCTTGGACCATCCTACTTGTGCCAAAACGTAAATCACAAGAAGGAGCAGCTGATCCTTGAGAGATGATAAAATACACTGCAGCGATTATTCTCAACAATTTATGAATCACTGCAGCAGAGTGAAATCCACCTTCAGGAGATACTCAAAGCTCAGCAGATTAATCAGATCCGGTCTGCGTGGCCCCGACTGAGTCACTTGAACTAATGTTAGGAAAGACTGCAGCATTTCTTAATGTGGTCCATTTTTTTGCCATGTGTCAACAAGTCACTCACCAACAAGCACATCGAATATAACCGACCTGGAAAATCATCAAAGTACTCATCATCTGTTTTGCTGTAAGACATCTCCTGATGATGTGGAAATAAAGAACAAAGATGGAGTTGGAAAAGTTGTTTGTTTGTTTGTTTATATTTTTCATTTGAGGTGTAAATGTGTACACTGCCTCAAATGTTCACTGCAGCTGCGGTTGTGTGAGTTATAGGTACATAATGCAACTGCTGTTTAATCTAGATTAAGTTATTACTTGTTTAAAAAGCAGAGATTAGAAGCCTTTGATCCCTCTGCAGTGGATTTGACCAAAATTAGCACAAAACTTAACTTTAAACTGTTTTTATAACTGCAGCTCAATTTCTAGGTTTCCCATGACGTAGCGTCCATGTCACCAAACGTAGATGTTGTGAGTTGTCTGTTGACTCGGTATCAAAAAGCCCAAATTCTATGCTGTCTACAGTTGCTGCAGATGCTCTAATCGCGACAAAGACACGCGTTTCTTTCTTTTTTGTGTGTGTGTCCCAAAAGTTGACTTAATCAAAAACAACAGATCAATTGGCAGATAAAGCATGCGGAATACTAAGAACACATTAAAACAATAACACAATAAAACACTGAAACGAGTCACTGTCTAAAAGCCACATCGTAAAAGTGGGTCTTTAAACGAGATTTAAAAACCGCCAATGATGGAACCTGCCAAACTCCAATGGGCAACGAGTTCACCCCGCGATTTGTATTGCATCCGGGGCATGCGCAGTAGCAGGAGGTCAGCCGACCTCAACGTGCGTGTGGGTACATAGGTATGGCGCAGTATGGGGGCCAAAATTAAGACTACTGCCCAGCAGCAGGAGGCTAAATACATTCTGAAGCAAACTACCGACCTGATTAATGATAAGCTGGCGCCGGTAACTGAGAGGCTGGCGCTGCTTACTGAGAAATAGCACCTTTACCAGCGTTACTAATAGATATGCTAGGGACTAGCAGCCCTCGGCTGGTCATTGACTGGTTCACACACTCCCCCTGCTGTCTATTAGCATGGATAGGCTAGTGTTAGCCTGGACGGGCTGGTGTTAGCATTGGAGATGCTAGCCATTAGCGTGCCTAGGCTGGCCACTAGCTGGATTTCCTAGCCCCTTGAAGGGCCATTAGCATAGATAGGCTGGCATTAGCATCGGAGAGGCTAGCCATTAGCGTGCCTAGGCTGGCCACTAGCTGGATTTCCTAGCCCCTTGAAGGACCATTAGCATAGATAGGCTGGCATTAGCATCGGAGAGGCTAGCCATTAGCGTGCTTAGGCTGGCCACTAGCTGACTAGTGACTCTCCGAGATAAACGGAGAAGGAAGTGACACCACCATCAGCGTCAGCCTGAGGAAGTCTGCAGCCGCAGAAGAAACGTAGCGACAAAACAGGTAACAAAACTGTTTCTGTGTTTTAAAAAGAACGACAGCATGGAATTTGACCCAGTTGGTATTGTTCATGCGGAGCCGACTACCTTTCTTCAGCCCTACTTCTCTGCTGTTTGTTTCGTGCTGAACTGACCGTATACTCAATATGGACTGATTGACCAGGTGAAGTGATACCACACTCTGATGCCTCTGAATGGCCTGGCGGTGTACATGAGTAGCGAGGTAACAGATAAGCACCCGACCAAACCCAAATAAATAACCGGCCACCGTGGCACGTTTTTACTGTTTTTCTTTGCATGTTGGGAACAGAGGTTCTTCCTGAAAAAAAGAGCCACATTTCGAGTTTGAAAGCACCTCCATGTCCTCCATTGTTTTTAACTGTGGTGCCACTTTGCTAAGCCCACGTCTGTGCTCCTGAGAGGGCAATGTAAACACAACCAGTTCCTGTGGGGGCGGGCTGTGCCCACCTGGGCCAGGCTGAGCTGACCAGAGTGTAAAAGGGCCACGAAGTGGTTAAACTCTGTGATAGAATGATGAAAATACAAAAATATTTATGCTCGCTGGTAATTTGTTCAGACGACAGCAAATGATTTATAACTGTCAATTGGGATATTTATTAATTAGTCACAATTTTTATAGTTCCTTCATTTCATGAGTCACAATGACACATTTTAGATTTATGAGGCCATTTAGTAGAAGATGCACTAAATTGCCTTTTGTTTAAAATTAGCTGTGAAATGTGTTAGTCAGAGATCATAACACTGCTGCAAACGCCATACACAGATTGTACACTCTTGGAAATGTGCAACTCAACCTTGATTATTAAGGGAACAACCCTCTCTGTTTATGGTCAGCAAATCTATAATTGCTCGTGCTATAAATAGTTAATAAACCCTCTGGAGGTGCGTGAACACCTCGCTGCAGCAGACTGGTGTTGGTGTTTGCAGCCATTTTACACTCAAATCAACACAAAGAACGAGGACAGATGAGCAGCTAGAATCAGAAAAGATATGGTGCTGATGGGGAGCGCGCACACACACACACACACACACAGATGTCTTTTTCTGACCGACCGGACAAAAAGCGTAGCATTTACATTGCAATGCAGGACGGCAACAAACAGTTAAGACAAGGAGCTTCTAATTTAGTTAATCCGTACCTGAGTTTATGTTAATCCTGAATGCAGTCAACACAGCAGGACCTTCTTTAAATGACAGACACACACAAAATGGTTAGGAGCTTGGTTTATAGTGTAGGAATACAAATGTTTCAATAATAGAGTACAGATTTAACTTAAGTACTAGGTTCACATCTAGAGAACTTATTGAAATGGGGAAATAAAATAAAAACATCTCATGAGAGCATCAGATTAAAAGCTTTTATCAGGTGTAGGTTTGCTTCATAATCAACCACTTTCACTATGACTTAAACAGGTGGGTGTCTGGTTTTAGCAGCTTTTCACATGATTGTAACCAGTTACACTTCCCCCCTTACCTCAGCCTAACGAACTATTCTATTCTTGTAACTGAAGAATCGTTTGGATGTGCTGGAATGACAGCAGACCAGCAGCAAACAAGACTGAATACTGACTGAATAAACATAAACACAGGGTATCCGCGGGTCCTTAAAAAGTCTTAAAAAGTCTTAAATTTGCTTTTCCAAATTTAAGGCCTTAAAAATCCTTAAAAATTACTAATAATCCTTAAATACAGTTTCCAAAGGTCTTAAATTATCAAAGACCCAATAAACAAGATTATTTTATTTCAATTAATCATGAATTTCTAGTTAGTGTTCAGCATTTTTTGTGTACAATGTTGGCGTAAGCGGAACCATACACATTCAGTTGGTTATGAAAGGGGGCTTTTTTAGATGAGCACATTAGCTGTTTAAGCTGGTGGGAGATTGCACCATGGGGACGTGCAACTTTTATGGTAACTGGATGGCTAATCCCACGTTCGCAACGTGGTTCGCACCGGTTCCAGGCAATAGCTGGAAATTATAGTTTAAATTTAATTTAAAAAAATAGCTTAAATTTGGTCAAAGTGGCCTTAAAAAGGTCTTAAAAAGTCTTAAATTTGGCTCCCTTAAACCTGCAGATACCCTGTAAACAGGAGCTTATCAGGACCTAAACACTGAAACAGACGGGGTTAAAGGAGCTCAAAGATGGATTCATCGGTTAGCCCAAAAGGGCGACACCCTGAGCTGAAACGTGCGTCCAAACAGCCAGTGTGTTCTGATAGTGCAGCAATCACGTTGTGCATCGTGCTACAGTGGAGCCACAACATCCTGAGCTCAGGCCGACACAACCTCTATCACACACCCCACATTTCCTGTTCCAGCTGCCACATAAAATAACACTTTCAAACAATGATAGAGTCAAATGATCAGTTCTACCCATAAAGCTGTTAGATTTCACTCATGAATAGTTGTGTTTATATGTTAGCACCAGACTTGTAAAAGATGTTTGTGATCCACAGAGAAAACGCCCAGAACTCTTCCGAAACAGCAGAGGTCAGATGTTTGAACTTATGGGATGAAGTTGCATCTTCAAGAACAAAATGAACCCATCCATCTTTTTTCAGCCACTTATGCGGGTTCAGGTCGTGGGGGCAGCGGCTTAAGCAGGGAGGCCCAGACTTCCCTCTCGCCAGCCAATCGGTCGTTCCCTGGCCAGCTGTGAGACATAGTCCCTCCAGTGTGTCCTGGGTCTTCCCTTGGGTCTCCTCCTGGTTGGACGTGCCGGGAGGACCTCACCATGGAGGTGTCCAGAAGGCATTCTAATCAGATGCCCGAGCCACCTCAACTGGCTCCTCTCGAAAAAATGTACCTTGTATTCAAAAGTGTGCTGGATGAATTTAAGAGTATGTCGCTAAAAAGCTGTGGCGTGATCTGTTCAGTTACTGCTGAGTACCAGAAGTTTCCTTCAAGCTCAGCTGTTCCTGATAAAGACCAGAATACATGACCTCCTTGTACGAATGCATTGTGCCTGCCACCTTTCATCCAACTGAACAATGACGAGCCAGTTTTGTCTAATCTTGATTAAAACATTAAAACAGTCTTACATATGTGGACACGGTCTTGTGCAATCTGTAATCACTTGGGACCGTCTGATGAGGATGACTCAAAGCTACCACCAAAGACATTTTGCTCACTATCTATAATTAGAAAGTTATTTCCATTTTTGTCTTTACTGGTGTTGACCAGCTGTGGTGGCCATCTTGAATTTGGTTGACTCCAAAGGAAAATCTGTTGCACGCAATGTAGCCTAGTGAACTAGACCCAATTCTTGCTTTGCAAACTTTGGTCTAGGAACGCTCCATTTGGACCCTCCGCGGCCCCTAGCACCATTCTGGCGGGCCAATCACAGCTCTCTATCTGGGTTTCAAACCAATTGAGCACTGTCAGCTTTGTGGGCCAATCAAGGTGCTCTATTGGTTTGGTGGGTGGGATGATGCGCTGGAGTGGAACAAGGTAGCGACAGCTGGTTTGAAACAGCTTTTGCATCAGTTGTGGACTATTTGGACTTGGGCTTTATTAGAATCAGGAGCAGATAGATGTATTTAAGTTCTTTGTTTAGAAAAAGGATGTAGTTTCGCCTTCTTCAACAGCGGACTGCCTCATTGATCGATATCCGTTGCGGTGAGTACGTCACGTTGATTGTTGTCCATGCGTAGATCATTTCAAAGACAACGGTAGAACCCGCCCCACGACCGAGAGTCATCAATGGAGTGTTCACCAACTAAATAACATATTTCATATATTTATAATGATATATTTATTTATAGCTTGCCAGGCTATGTCCAATGATTAATGCCTGAGAGTTTTATTAAAAATCAGTGAAGTGGTTGATGCAGCTTTGTGTTAACACCACAACACACACACAGGCAAAAACATTATCGCCCATTCCCAGAGCTCAAAGATGACCAATAACGTTTATTAACAGCAGCAAATATTTGTCCATCAGGCTCAGCTGTGAACTAATAAAACAGACAACTCCTCCTAAAACTGTCAGAGGAGAGCAGCACTGACTAAAATCTAAACAGGAATAAATGATCTTTTTATAAAAAACAAGTAAATAAAAACACAAAATCTACAACTAAACCAGACAGTTCTATCTCCTAGCTCATTGAAGGGAAATCACCGTAGCTTTCTGCATCTTATTGGGTTATGCTGTGCCTCTATATCAAATAGGGTAATAAAATTACAACGCCTGTTGCCATGGCGACCAGTTCGCTCTGATTCCCCTCTGACAGTAAGATGACATCACTGACTGTGAAATCACCTCAGAAGAACACCAGCCTCTACAATAACAACTTATCAATTAGGGAAATGTTAACAAAAAGCCATTTAAAGAGATTTAGTTTCAAACGGCGCCTCGTTTAGTCAAGAAATTTGTTTTCAGTCAAGGAAAATGAACACGAGGATGACCTGACTGCACCAGATTAATGTTTGTGTTCATCTTGCTGTAGAAGGTGACTCAGTCAGTGTTTGGACAGCTGTGAACCAGGGGATGCTTAAATATAAAGGTGAAGACGGACTGTTTCCTCTCCTGTTTCCTCTTTCAGGTTAGTCCTGATAAGAGCAAAGCCCCAGATCATCCAGTTCATCACTATACGGGTCGGCCATGATGGAGAGGATCACACCTTCTTTTGAAGCTCACTAATTACACGATAAACAACAAGGAAATATAAACATCAAAGGATGAATCAGGATTTAGTCATGATGACAACCCACAGTGATTCATCCTGGGGGCAGAGAATAGTTTTCCCAGGACTGAGACAGTCATTGTTTACATGTGGGACAACATTGTAGGTTTTCAATTACTTTGAACTTTTAGCATAGTTTATGTTATTTTTTTCTCTTCTCGGGTTATTGCATTGGTATATCATGCATTAAAGTGACGGTGTGTATTTTCCCTGGCGATAAGAGGCAGTACATACCTAGATTCATTAGCAAGCCAGCAGTATTTTTGTATTAGAGAAAAACCTTACCAAAGGATGGACATTAGGGTCAAAAATCCCTTAGAGCACAATTTTCAAACAAGTACTTTGTCGGATCGGTCAAGTTCCAAGAAAACAGCAAGTGCGTCACAATTCCTTTCATCACTGGCAATGAGTGAAAACATTAATGTGTAAAACAACAATGTCTATGAATGGGGAAAGTTTTGTTACTGTTTGTTGCAAATCAGTAAATGCAATTTGTCCTCATGGGCTCCCGTAGAAGGAAACATGGCATCTAACATGGCTTTGCTCAAAGGCCCAATCTCAATACTCGCATTGGCACCTTTTTGCCCTTCATTTGTGTGTTACCGGCCAGGGGTGCGAGTGCGTAGGGTGTCCCGATTCTCAAGTGTGGAAGTTGACCACTCCCCCATTGCACCCTTAATCTGTACGTCACCCAAGTCCGCAACAATGTGGACCTTGGGCAAGGGTATTACCCACAAGCCATTGCTTCAGGAGAAAAGGCTCAAGTTCCTTTTCTGAAAATATGTATTTTCTAATGAAATTTGTTCATTTTAGGATGATTATTCGATGCTCTGAATGTTTTAGACAAAGCAGCAATAAATGTAAATTTATTTCAAATAATTGCTTTAGTGTTTGTTTGAAAGTTGTTAATAAAGGTTTTTGAAAAAAAGTGTGACAGCGACCAGCATCACGGCATGCGTTGCGATTGATGACGCAATGCTCCCTGTCTCAATTCGGCAATTATTTGCACACTTGTGTACTTCGCACTCAAACCCTACTGCGCACTTTTTCCAAGTGCACTTTGCTGAAGACAACAGGGTGCAGTGCGAGTATTGAGATTGGGCCAAAGACTTAGGGTGTTTCTCAATGTCAACGAACCTCGCCTTGCCTGGCTTAAAGTTATATTTCATACGTATAAGTTTCATTATAAATGTATAATGAGGTTTTAACTTTTTTAATGGTGTATGTAATGGTTAAATTAAATATGTAAGCAAGTTAGTACCTGCTAGCCACCAAAGATGCAACTAATAAGCAACTAACCAAACATGGAAAACTGCTTTGGATCTAAAAAAAACATTTTAGATAGCAGCCCAATAATTACAACTAGTTGAATTAAATTTGCCCTTGAAGTAGCTGCTGGCTCCTGACCCACCATCCTTTTGAAAATATCGCACTGTATTCTGGGAAACATGGCACCTCGCATGCATTCTTGTTTAGTTAGAGAAATGGCTAACAAATA